ACACACACAAAAAACACATGAACAAACACAGTGTGGTTTTGTGTGTGTGTGAGTGTGTGCGAGAGAGTGCGTGTGTGTGTGTGTGTGTGTGTGTGTGTGTGTGTGTGTGTGTGTGTATTCTACCATTGCATGGTTAAATTGTTTTGATCATGCATCAAACCTACTTAGAGGGCTTGTCAAGACACAGATTGCTGGATTCCATACTCAGAGTTTTGGCAGGTCTGGAGTGGATCCAAATTATTATTATTTTTTTATTCTTCTCTCATATATTACATCCCAATCCCTGTTTCCTCTCCCTCCACTCCTCCCAGGCCCTCCCCACAACTTTCTTTTCTTTCTCCCCTGGATCCACTCCTCCTCCATTTCCCTTTGGAATAATAGCAAGCCTCCTAGGGTTATCAACTGGATATGGCATAACAAGACACAGTAAGACTTGGCACTGATATTTCTAATAAACTTTCTGATGTTGAAGAAGCTGCTTCTTCTGGAAACTGTTCTTCAAGAGTCTCTGTTGGGGACAACTTGGAGAGATAAAAGATACATCCATGAAATGTTAGAAGGCTTCTGAGAAGGTCTATGTAATTTGTTATGGGGGTGTGGGTTAGGTGTAAATAATGGCTGAAGGAAGTGAGGGAAGGAATTCTAAGCAGAGAGAGATCCATGAACAGGACCAGTCAGCAAAGTTTTCTGGAGGAGGGAGAATTTGCTCTGGTCTAAGACTGAATAGGAACTACCCAAGAGAACCTAGGAATTAGATGTTAGGGATGTGGGTATCTTAGATAGAAAAAGATTATATGTTAGTGAACACTGTCACTAGGTGGTCAGGAGACTATATTTGGCAAGAAAATTCACATGGGATAATACTAAAACAGAAATGTGTCTACATATAAATGTAGATTCAACATATTTAAAGATTTTTTTTATAATCATGTTTTTCTTTGTGTTTTGAGGCAAGGTCTCTTTCTCTATGTAGCCCTGGATGTCCCTGCTATGTAGTTTAGTCTGACCTCGAAATTACAGAGATCCATCTGCTTCTGCATTCTGAGTGCTGGGATTAAAGGTGTGTACCACCATGCCTGGCTGCTTAGCCATTTTTGAAGGGACATATATCAGTATATATATATATATATATATATATATATATATATATGTGTGTGTGTGTGTACACACACACACACATATATATATATATATATATATATATATATATATATATATATATATATATATATATATATATATATATATATATATATATATATATATATATATATATATATATATATATATATATATATATATATATATATATATATATATATATATATATATATATATATATATATATATATATATATATATATATATATATATATATATATATATATATATATATATATATATATATATATATATATATATATATATATATATATATATATATATATATATATATATATATATATATATATATATATATATATATATATATATATATATATATATATATATATATATATATATATATATATATATATATGTGTGTGTGTGTGTGTGTGTGTTTGTGTGTGTGTGTGTGTGTGTGTTAACACACATTCATATATGCATTCTGAGACAGAGCCTCATTGTAGAGTCCAAGCTGGGCTAAAGCTTGGAAAACTTCTTCCTTCCTAAGTGTAAATTAAAAATTATAACCATATTTAATGTTTAACGTTCAACCTAATTATCTGTTTTAAAATTTTTACCTGAATGAAAAAAATCAGTTATATGAATTAAAATATTACTTTAAGAGTGTTTACCCTTTGTTCATTGTTTTTCTTAGAAACATTGTTTTTATGTGTGTTGTTGTTGTATTGTGGGGTCAAGAGTTCCCTCTGCTTCCCTTAGAAGCTTGTGAATGCAGGTATGTGCCACTATACCAGGCTACAAGAATTCTTAATAAACATCTTGCATATAAATCATGCTTTAAAACATTTCTGGGGCAAATATGCAAACCACAAAGTAGAATATGACACAGAAAATTGAATAATGTTTTTTGAGTTTACTTAAAACCTTGGGAAATTGAAGTGGATATTAGATGTAAAGCAAAGGATAACCAGACTAAAAGTCTGTAGCTCCAGAGAAGCTAGGTAACAAGTAGGATCCTAAGAGGGACACATGGATCACCCTCAGAAGAGAAATTAGATAATATCTGCAGGGCAAACTGAGGGCAGGGGGGGTGGTAAGGGGGAGGTGAGGGGGGATGAGAGCAGGAGGGAATAAGATGGCCTAGGTGGAGAGGGAATATGGTGGAAGAGCAATGAAAAACAGAGAGCCACTATGGGCTTAGGGAGAAACTTGGTGCTAAGGTAACTCCCAAGGAGTCACAAGGAGGACCCCAACTCAGACTCCTAGCAATAGTAGAGAGGATGCCTGTAATCAGATTGATGAATACCCCGATTATTGTCATGTCATAGAGCCCTCATCCAGTAATTGATGGAACCAGACACAGAGATCCACAACCAAGAACCAGGCCAAGCTCTGGGAATCCAGGCAAAGAGAAGGACGAGGGAACATATGAGCAAGGGAGGTCAAGATCATAATTGAGAAATCCATAGAGACAGCTGAACCAAGCTCATGGAAACTCATGGACTTTAGACCTACAACTGTGGAGACTCCAGGGGACCGAACTAGGCCCTCCTGTGGAAGACAGCTGTGAAACCTGGACTATCAGAGGGGCCTCAGGCAATAGGACCACAATACAAACCTGACACATGAACTAGCTTGCTGGGCCCATTCCCTATGGTGGGATGCCATGCTCAGTCTTAATGTATGGGAGAGAGGCTGGGCTCTGCCCCAACATATTGTACCAGACTATGTTGACTCCTCATGGGAGCCCTTACCTGTGAGCGGGCTCGGGGGAGGTGAGTGAGGGTGGGAGGAGATGAGGGGGATGTGGGAAGAGGGGTGGAGGGGGAACTGTTGTTGGAATATAAAATGAAATTAAAAAAAAATGGCAAAAAAAACTTGGGAAGTTGTCAATAGAAAATGTTGGAAAATGGCAAATCATGTATGATATTCCTCAGTCTTCTCAGAAAACTTCATAGATTTAGAAGAAAATCACAGGACACCACAAAGCTGTTGGTGGTTAACTCAGTGTATTAATGAATTACTCAGTATTGACTTTGAAGTTCTTAGGTGTCATGCAAGGGATACACACTGTGCTTGTAATAAAAGTTACTTAATTTAAAAGTCAAATGCACTATAAGCTATTCTCATCTTGAATATGGCTTGAATATGGCATGCTTTCTGCAGATCTAGTTCCTCAACATGCTGACCTCTTTGCTGGCAACCCCCTTCTTACCTCCTATTTATTCTTCTGGCTTCAGGCTACAAATTATTTTCCTAAAGTCTGGATTAGTTTCCCCTGTTTTATGCTTTTCTCTCTTTGATCTCAGTCTTGTGAGCAGTAATTGAGAGTTTGTCTTTTGTGCTGGATTTTGTCAGCTTAGTGAAACCCTGGCGTTTGATTTTCCTTGATTTCTCTGTGGTCTAGGTGTAAACACAGCTTCAGGCATTTGCAGCGGGGCAGTCCAGTTCTTTCCAGAAATCCTGACAGTCTGGAGGCACTGGGCTTGTGCAGTGGTTGGAAAGGTACTCCCCATATGCTGAAGAACTTTGTGGGGGTACATTTAGGATTCTGAAAGATCTGCAATAATGTCCTGGGAGGACAGCCATCAGGTAACCAATAGGATGGTTTAAAGAAGCCTGATATCTGTACTCTGTAGACACAGAATATTTCTACAGTCTGTAAATTTTAGAAACAATGACAGCAGCCTTTGGGATGGCAGATGAAGCTTGGTAGTCTTATGGAGATTCATTTTAAAAAGCCTCCTTCAGTATAGGCTGTTAATTTTAGAAACCATGCAAAAAACACTAGAAGAAAAGAAAGTTTCTATAAAAAGGGTCTTCCTTCAAAAAAAAAAAAAAAACCTTAAGTTTCCTCTTTTAATGGGGATATCAGGTGAGGCTAGAGAGCATCCAACACAATCATCTCACTCATCTGGAAGTTGAAGCTACACCCTGTCAGGTGGTAGGATTTATTGCATAGTGCTTATAATTACAGGTATGTGTTTAGGAAAGCCTGAATTTGAATTGCTGGTCTATCATGGAGCAGTCGTAGGGCTCGTTTAACTTGTTTAAATGCTTCTTTAAACTTAGTGCCTTGATTCAAAAAGGATAGATGATCATATCTCCAGGACAGAACACTGAAAATGAAATTGTATCTCTACCACTTTTATTACAATACTGTCTATGGAATAAATGGTACTTTATGGTGATCTCGTACTAAAAAACAGCTTCGGGTTTGCAAGTAAACACAAAAATTCTCCAGAAGACTTCCAAAGAGATGTGCTGTTCTCTGCGCTTCTTACTCACACATCCTCCCTGGCATAAACAGGGACCTCTCTCTGCTAGGTGGCAGAGTTAGCACTCAGAGAAACATGAAAGTAGAAGCTACTAGAAGTATATGCTCTCACAGCAAGAGGTCAGGGGTGACACTATTATCAAAAGGCACAAAGCAGGAAAGAAAACAAAGACAAAATGAAAATCATCAAGGGTCTCAGACAGGTCACACATGTTTCAATTTTTTCTTTGTCCAGTGGGTGAATCTGAGAAGTTATTAAAGCCCAAAGAGAGTAAGTCATTCACCCAAAATCACTGAATTTGATTGGGAAGCCCCCAGGTCTACTAACAACCAGTTTAGCTTTCTTCCAGTTCTGTGTGTTGTTTTACAGCATACTCTTCTAGCATTAAACACCTCAATCTATAAAAATGACCCAGCATGCAGCTACTCCACAGATGCAAATACAAACACGTAACCCTTCTTTCCCCCCAAACGTGAAAAACCCCAACTTACAACATTCATGAACGCTTCCGGGTCCGCAGCTTTTGTTGGCATATGTCCCGAGTTCACATTTCTTTGGAGTAAATAAGCCAGCAGGATCAGGAGCCATATCTCCACTCGGTGTGAAACACTCCATGCTCTTGACAAGATTTCTGACATGGTCCAACATCTGCATTTGCTTTGTGCCGAAGGATGCAACAACTACATCCAGAGTCAGGGGAAGGACCTGTAGGTTTAAAACAGCTTTTGTGTATTTTCTAGCGGCAAAACTCTGAGGCAGATAAAGCAGGTTTAGGTATAGGAATAAAACAACATGGTGTAGGCTGCAAACATAGCTTAGAATGTCACAATCCCATCTGGCTCCTCCTGTTCCTCTCTCATTCATCTTGCAAACACCAACCCTTCCACTTCTAGGTGTGTCCAACTTTCCTTGTTGCAACTGGGAGTTTCATGCATGTTTTATATAGCCCATAAAGACTTGTTGGCCAGCACCATGTAAGGGCCATATGAAGCAGCTCCCCTCACCCCCATGTTTAGTTCTTATCTTTGTTCGATAAATAGCAAGACCTGGGACCTGCAGAACACACTGCAAGTTTCTATGTGATGGCTTCAATCATCACTGTCCTATAGCTGAAGATCAAATGCAGAGCTGATCACTTTTATTTGAAATGTCAAAAGCTTTAAGAACATTTCTTACTTTTAGTGCTGGATAAAAATGTTAATTGTAAGAAAGCAATCTAGGTGTAGCCCGTTTCTCTCTAGTTTAATCTTATATACCGCATTGTAAATTTGGCTTGTAGTTACCAGTTATGGTTGACAGTGATGTCCAGTAATTAAATCACCTGAAGTAACCCAAATAATGAGTGGCAGCCTAGTTATTTTTATGAGCTAAATGTCCCAGTTAATCAGTCTGTGAGGTAACCTGAGAGCAGCTTCTTGACCTGCTATTCATTGAGCATGCCAAGAAGGAAGATTCATTAGTTTAAGTAAAGACTCTACTTCAAGTTAATAAGAAGAAAAAAAACTGAGGTAATTTCTCTACTTTTCCATCAATTCTTCAGCTTTGACAGCAGCCACACCTGTTTGCAGACTTTGGGAGTGTGGTGGGTGAAGAAGTCAGAGTTAAAGCTGGAAAGACTACTCCGTGGGAATGTATCTGCCCAGATGACTCAGCCTTCACCATCCCTACCGGCTGAGCAGGTGTGAGGAAGCAAGACTGTCTTTATCTGGATCTGGCTGAGCATTCATCCAGTGTTGGTGATTGCTACAAGCCAGAGAGGAGTGATTTGACCTGATTAGAAAAAGCTGGAATGAAGGGCTATCTCCACCAAGCCCCACATACTCTCCTTGGAACCCACTGAGCTTGCTCTAAAGTCAGGCAAAACGCGATCTCACAAGAGAGAACGTCACCTCCCACGGCTGACATTTTAGGATTTTAAAATGCTGTATTGCCCAAATGGGGGTAGGAGGTGGCTTTCATTTACATTTCAGAATTACATGATCATATTATCAAGTTAGATTGTGGCAAAGCCAGGAGTAAAACTTAGATATTGGGCCTGGGGAAATGCTTCAGTGATTATGAGCACATATTGCACTTGTAAAGGATCTAAACTCAGTTCTCAGTGCAGAGGTCCAGTGGTTCAGAATCGCCTGTGACTCCAGCTCCAGGGGATTTGATGTCTTTTGGCCTCAGGGGGCACTTGCACACCTCACCCAATGCTCATATATTCTCACACACACGCGCGCACACACACACACACACACACTCATATATTCACACACACACACACACACACACACACACACACGCATACTCATTATTAAGCATAAAAAATGTTTTTTTTAAAAAAACAGATATTTTAATCCAATGTTTAATATTGCAGTCACATGGAAAGTCCCCTCAACATGTCCTTCCATGAAGAGATGGAGTCAGATAACTACACCATGCTTTGTGAATTTCTTTTCAGTGCTGGGAAGAAATTGAACCCAGGACCTTGTGACTGCTAGGCAGTGTAAGTTGCTTCTTCAGGTTCTGGATTTAAAATGAACTTATTATATGTTTAACGTATACAAGCTATGCATATTTGCTTCAATATGCTCAAGTAAGCCAATTCTTACCTTTGAATAATATGTTTCTGAATTCTGTAGAGACCAATGATGGCAAATGACTGGTTGAAAATAAAACAATAGGAGGCAGAAGCAGGTGGATCTCTGGGAGTTCAAGACCAGCCTGGTCTACAAGAGCTAGTTCTAGGACAGGCTCCAATGCCACACAGAGAAACCTGTCTTGAAAAAAAAAAGAAAGAAAGAAAAACAAAACAAAGACCCTCAGCCTCCTGGTTTTCTTAGTGAGTCTACATAGTTTCCTCTAAGCACCCTGTTTATTAAGTTCAGGCTAGAGGACTCTCTCATTAGTGTTCAATTGACTTTTATTAAAGTGATTCTTTCAGTTATTACAAGTAATCTTGAAACTAGTCAGGTGTTTGACATGGAAGCAATTTGACTGACACACGGTCAGTGTTCTTGTATCATCTGCATCAGAATGACTTAAGGATCAAATGACCAAAATGATTGTGTTGAGTCAAACTAACAGCCCACTCCTTCTAACACAGGTCACTTCTCAGGAGACTCTGAGGCAGTCAGGCAAATGGGCATGGCGTATCTGTCTCTTGTTTCGTCAGACATGCCTGCACAGGCATGGTTCCCACTGAGACTCCATTGTCTTCTCAGCTGTATCAACCAGCATGGCAAGGTTCTTCATAGACATTATTCCAGTAATGAAGTATTAGAAACTATTCCGCATTCCTAAAGCAGGCAGCTTCGTCTCTGCCTCCCAGCGTTGATCTTGGAGTCACTTTAGCACCTACTGTCTTAGTTTAGTTCTTCCTTCTCATAGGCCAGCTTTTAAAAGCACCATTATTTAAACACTGTTTAAATACAGTCGTTAAGACAGGTTGTGAAGTCATATGACAAATGTCATTGCTTACTACATAGATGGCTTTGGGACATGTTCCCACGGTCCCTGAGCCTCGGTGTCCTCATTTGCAAGCTGTGACAGTACCTTCTCCTAAGACTGCCAGGAGGGTTGCATCAGAGAGCAATGCCGAATCTGATACAGAATGAACACTCAGCAGTTTTGCTTCATGCAGGGTCTAAGGCTTCTGCTGCCTGGTGCCCCACTCTGTCCCAGCGATTCTAGGATGAAGCAGCATTTCTCCATCAGCTCGAGGTACTAGGGTATCTCTGATGGAGAGAACAGAAATCACATTTCCCCCATATGTTGGTTAAATTGTGTTTTCTGGCTCTTTCCTTTCCTAGCCCAGTGATCTGGGTCAGTCATTCAACCTTTCACAGTCAGAGGGCATCTGACATTTAAAGATGCTGTGAGGACCAGTGTAGTCATCTAAGGCAGGAGCCAAACATCTAGAGGGATTTTAGAGGGATTTACAGAGTTGTCTTGCTCTTTTTTTTTTTTTAGCTTTTCTGTTTTTTATTTTGTTGTTGTTTTGTTTTTTTGTTTTGTTTTGTTTTGAGACAGGGTCTCCTGTGGTCTGTGGGTTGGCCTGAAACTCTTAATTTTATGTCCTCAACCTCCTCAGCACTGGGGTTACAGGGATGTCCCCACACTTGCCCTCCCCGCTTTTTTTCCTTAAAGGAATTTGTGGTATGAACATAAAGATGGTGAGTTCCCTTTGCAAATTTACTTGTAAACCAGACTGAAGTCATAGTATTTTAGAACTAAAATCACAAATTCCAGAAGCCATTTGCTTCAGCATGCTACTTTTACTGCTCTGCTTAAAACATATGTCATATGAAATTATATAATTTAGTAAAAGTGATAGAATACATATTTCTGTAAAACTTTGACCACCATGATGTGCACAAATTGATATGCACATTCTATTTCCCCCTCAAATTAATTTTCATTAACCATTTGGTATATATTTTCAAGGCATTTTATATGTTGTTTGTATGTGATAGAATATTCTCACAGGACAGATTTACAGTTGCAGAACACTGGGCAAAAAGTATGTATTATCGATAGTCTATAGCCTGTAAGTTCCTGTTAAATTGCTCCCTAAAAGGCTGGTAGGAACATGACTGTGACCATACCCTTCCTTCAGCAGTTTAACATTTCAAAAATCCCTTTAATTTTGTCAGTTTCATGCGGTGATACCTCATGGTGATTTAGCTTTCATTTCATGAGCTACAATCAGACTATCATGTTTTAAAATATCTCAAATATTAAGTCTTCTGTGGATTTCCTTTTTGAGTCATAGCCTGTTTCATCTTAACATTTCAAAGAATGATCACCTTGATCCTTTTCTTTATTGTAAATATTGATCTTAACTTTGTTATAAGTTAGTTAATACATTTGCTTTCTTTTTTTAAATTTTGGCTTGTGATACATAGTTATTTCATAAGTATTTTGTTATAGATGTTTCATAGTTAATTGATTTGAACTTTTCCCTTCTAGGACCTGTTTCATACACATTGGTCTTTTTCATCCCAAGGTTAAATTATATTCTTTATACATTTTTGGTATTTTCAGAGATTTTTTTTCATCTGACTCTAGACCAATTGGAATTGCCTTTTCAATATAGAATGGGATTGAATCGAATTCTATTTTTCTAACCTGTCATTAATTTTGCAGAGATCACATTATAAGTCTTTTCTGATTTGTCTGAGACAGAAGTCACCTGCATGTCCTCATCTTATGTGATAGAGCTCTGCAGTTCTGGTGAGATCTCCTGGAGCAGTGTTTCTCACCTGGAGCTGTTTGCTCTGTAGAAATTTGGCTGTCATTGCTAGGGGTGTGCTGCTGGCATCTAGTGGTAGAGGCTAGAGATGCCAAAGAACACCTTAAAATATACAGGGCAGCCCCACAGCAAAGTGTGTGACCCTCCAAAGGTAAATTGTGTCAAACAAGTTGAGAAATCACAGAGACATGGCATTCTTTGTATACAGATCTTTGTACTTAAAGTTTTGTCAGTCAGTAATGGTATTTATTGATAAATCTTCCTGAAATTGTCATTGTTTTCAAGTTTAAAAAATACTGAATTTTTTCTGTGCCTGGTGGGTACTTGTGGACATCAGGAATGTTCAATGTTCACAGATTCTTATAAGCAAGCCTAGGTTTCAGATCACATATATCATGA